GGGATCCCTGCGGGGAGCCGTGAGTGACAGTCACGGCTCTCTGCAGGGACAGGATCGATAAGTGAGCGAGCGACGGTATGTGTTCGCTCACTTCCCGATCTATTGAGCCGACCTGTGACAGTTTCATTGTCATTTGTCGGCTCGAACAATGAGGCTGACTGATTTTTCACTCACCTCATAGTTCTCCTTTTAATATTTAGAATTTTATCCTTTGGGCGATTGGAAGCTAGTGCAGGGATCGGCAGAGGGGGGCGGGGGGTGGAAGCCAGTGCAGGGATCGGCAGAGGGAGGTTGCAGACAGTGAGCGGTTGGTTAGGTGGATGAGTCTAGCGGCTGCATTCATGATAGACTGAAGGGGGAGGAGCCTGTGCAGTGGAAATGATGCGTCGCCAGGAAGGTTGCCCTCTGCTGTTTGGAGGATGTTGTGTCGGCTGAGATATAAAATGATCCATTTCTCTCTCTCCCCCTTGTAGCTGATCGTTATGTTGGGTCTGGCTCGGGCCCTGCTGCTTTTTCTCTGCTTGCCTTCCTCCGTTTTGTCCTCCAATCATCATTTCCTCCGGCCCAATGTCACCTTCAACCACATGGCGTACGACCCCGGCTCGGGCTCGATCTACGTCGGGGCCGTCAACTGGATCTTCCAGCTCTCCCCGGACCTCCAGCTTCTGGCCGAGGACTCCACCGGTCCCGTCTTTGATTTCCCGGATTGCCTCCCCTTCAAGGAGAACAGAGACTGCCCCCAGGCCGCCCCCACCCAAAACACCAACAAGCTGCTGACCGTCAACATTCACAGCGGGGAGTTGCTGACGTGCGGTCACGTGTTTCAGGGCATCTGCGAAAAGAGGAGTTTGGCCAACATCTCCAACATCATTTACCAAACCATAGACCCCGGTGACAACCAGTTTGTGGCCGCCAACGACCCCAAAGTCACCACTGTGGGAATAGTCGAGAGGACGTCGCAGGGCCACGATTACCTGTTTGTGGGTCGCGGTTTGACCGCCAGGCTCTCCAGTGGAATACCGCCGATCACCATAAGGCAGCTAGAGAAGCCGTCGGTCTTCTCCAACGAGGGTCTGGGCAAGTTGGTGGTGGGAGACTTTTCGGATTACAACAATATGTTCATAAGCGTTTTCTCCAACCGAGGACACGTCTACTTCCTGTTCTACCGCCGCGGGTCCAAATCGCAGATGGAGTACAAAACCTACCTCGGCAGCGTGTGCGGCCAGGACCTCCACCTCTACTCCTACGTGGAAGTGCCTCTGGTGTGCCGGGGAGGCTACAACCTGGCGCAGGCCGCCCACCTCGAGGTCCGGAACCGGCAACTCTTTGTGGTCTTCGCCGCCAGCCAAGGTTCCAGTCCAAATCCCAGCAGCCGGACGGCGTTGTGCTCCTACGGGATGGAAGACGTAGAAGAGAGGATGACGGCCGCCCGCGTCCTGTGCTACACCAAAAACGGCAGAGGGGCGAGCATGCAGGAAGAGGCGGGAATCGAGTACGGCGTGAATTCTAAATGCGGTACCCTCCCTGAGGTATGTGTCTGCGGCGGAATCCTAAAATCTCACCGATGTGAATGCAAATAAAACCCCCAAAATATGTCAAATTGCAGCTAAGCCCTCGTTCACACCTGAAAGTTTTTTAGCGCGTTCTACGCTCGGCGAACGCTCTACAAAACGCTCAAACATCTAAATCCCATTGTATTCAATGGTCTCGTTCCCACCTCGGCGTATTTCCGCCCGTCCCTAACGCGCTACAAAACGGCCCCCGCCTGAAAAGGTCCAGGTACTACTTTGGGCCGTTTTGTTGCGCGTTTCCATTGGGATACAGCCAAGTAGCCTTCGCGATTCGCAGTAAAAAACGCGCGACAGACGCGCATATGCAATACGCCTAGGTGTGAACGAGACCTAAAAGATCGCGTATTTAAAGGAGAACTACGAGGGGGGTGATTGTCACTCACCCTCATAGTTCGAGCCAGAGCCGTAGCTAGCTCCGTTTGTGCCCGAGGGAAGGACAGAAAATTGTGCCCCCCCCCCAATAAACGTGTTATGTCACCCTATGCCACGCACGGTGTCATGTGACGTCATGGGCCCCGCCTCCACGATGGCGGCACCAAATAGCATAACGTTTTTTTAATTTGACGAAACGAATGAAAACGTTTTTAGTTTCCGTTCATTTAGTCTTTGCACATGTCTAATAGTGTGTGTGTGGTGGTGGGGGGGGGAAGGGGTGAGGGGGGTGCAACCAGGCTGGCCCTATCTACGCCCCCCTCTCGGCTGCGCCTGAGGCTAGTGCCTCACTGGCCCCATGGTAGCTACAGCCCTGGTTCGAGCTGACGCGCGACGATGAGACTGTCACAGGTCGGCTCAGTAGATCGGGAACACATACCGGCGCTCGCTCACTTCTCAATCCTGTCCCTGCAGAGAGAGGTGACTGTCACTCACGGCTCGCTGACTGGCGGAACGGACGGGGGAGGGGGCGGTCACAGCTGGCTCCGGCTCTAGATAGGCAGAGCCAGCTGTCAGTCACGCAGCTGGGCAGTAATGTCGGGATCCGCTCCGGCTGCGGCGGTCTCAGTATACCGCGAGCTGTAGCTCCCTATATACTGAGCTTAGGGTGACGGGAGGAGGACGCTAGTTTGTGTCACCCTGAGGAGAACTATGGGGAAAAGCCTTAACCCCGTACTTCTCCTTTTAACCTTTTTATTGGCTTGCAATGTGCCTCTAAACTTGCTAGAAAATGTGACTAGGTTAGGAAGTGAATTCCCTAGCGTAGTCCCCTCCTTGTACGTCATTGCCCTCTCCTCTTCTGGGATTGTCTAATTACTGTCTGTGAGATAGATAGATTATCTCCTCTTCGAGGAGGATTTAATTCTCTGTGCTGGCCAAGCTCCTCTGCCCCCTCCCCTCTTCTAACTAAATAACCTTTTATGTAGCTGCTGGGGGGGGAGGAGCAAAGGGGGAGCTCTGAGTCTGCTGACATCACATCCAAGATGGCGGCAGTCTCTAGACTTTTAGATGTTTACACAAGGAAACCTTTTTCCAGGTAAATAACACGTCTCCACACATTCCACATGAGGAGGTTGTTGTTGAAGTGAAGGGTCTGGTGACGGGGTCTCTGTAAGATGTAGGTGGGTGGGCTTTGGCCTAAGCCCTCGTTCACACCTGAACGTTTTGTAGCGCGTTCTACGCTCGACGAACGCTCTACAAAACGCTCAAAAATATAAATCCCATTGTATTCGATGGGTCTCGTTCCCACCTTGGTGTATTTCCGCCCGTCCCTAACGCGCTACAAAACGGCCCCCGCCTGAAAAGGTCCAGGTACTACTTTGGGCCGTTTTGTTGCGCTTTTCCATTGGGATACAGCCAAGTAGCCTTCGGAAACGCGCGACGGTCGCGCAACTTTTTTACCGCGAATCGCGGTAAAAAACCGCGTGACAGACGCGCATATGCAATACGCCTAGGTGTGAACGAGACCTGAGTCACCCAACGGTGTCTTGAAGCAAACCAGACCATTGCTACCTCTAGTTTTGTGCTAGGAGTGGGCTCAGTCATGCTCCCCCCAGCACTGTGACGGCACAGTCACCGGTGGCCAATGGGACGGGCTCCCGATCATGTGATCACTGTGACAGCCAATAACGGGATTGCTTCGGGTAATTGGGACCCATTGTGTCAGAACTGCCGCCGCCGCTGATTACATTTGTGTTTTCTCTTGCCAGGATTCGCCGCAGAACTTCCCATGTGGAGGTGATCACACCCCCAGCCCAATAGCCAGCCGAGTTCCTGTCAGTGCGTCCCCTCTTCTCCCGTACGAGGCCAGCCTGACGGCAGTAGCCGCGCTCGCTGTGGGCTCCGACACCGTCGTCTTTCTGGGGGATTCCGGAGGACACGTCCATAAGGTGATCTTCTTCTTCAACTCTACGATGACCTGAAGTGTATCTAAAACCAAAACGTATCTTTGTGTAGCTTCTAATGTACTAGGGCGGGGCTAGAACCCTTGTCGGGTTTTTATTGATGTGTCCTCACATTTTGAGTTGTCACTGGAACAGATATAGAGGTGAGATCACGCAATGGGGACACTTGTTCTAGTGACAACCAAAGCAGGCCATACGCTGGAAGATTTCTGTATAACCCTCCCTCCTTGCATGCCATAGCCCCCTCCCTCCTTGCATGCCATAGCCAGCCCCTCCCTCCTTGCATTGCCATAGCCAGCCCCTCCCTCCTTGCATGCCATAGCCAGCCCCTCCCTCCTTGCATGCCATAGCCCCCTCCCTCCTTGCATGCCATAGCCCCCTCCCTCCTTGCATTGCCATAGCAGCGCTACAAAACGGCCCCCGCCTGAAAAGGTCCAGGTACTACTTTGGGCCGTTTTGTTGCGCTTTTCCATTGGGATACAGCCAAGTAGCCTTCGGAAACGCGCGACGGTCGCGCAACTTTTTTACCGCGAATCGCGGTAAAAAACCGCGTGACAGACGCGCATATGCAATACGCCTAGGTGTGAACGAGACCTGAGTCACCCAACGGTGTCTTGAAGCAAACCAGACCATTGCTACCTCTAGTTTTGTGCTAGGAGTGGGCTCAGTCATGCTCCCCCCAGCACTGTGACGGCACAGTCACCGGTGGCCAATGGGACGGGCTCCCGATCATGTGATCACTGTGACAGCCAATAACGGGATTGCTTCGGGTAATTGGGACCCATTGTGTCAGAACTGCCGCCGCCGCTGATTACATTTGTGTTTTCTCTTGCCAGGATTCGCCGCAGAACTTCCCATGTGGAGGTGATCACACCCCCAGCCCAATAGCCAGCCGAGTTCCTGTCAGTGCGTCCCCTCTTCTCCCGTACGAGGCCAGCCTGACGGCAGTAGCCGCGCTCGCTGTGGGCTCCGACACCGTCGTCTTTCTGGGGGATTCCGGAGGACACGTCCATAAGGTGATCTTCTTCTTCAACTCTACGATGACCTGAAGTGTATCTAAAACCAAAACGTATCTTTGTGTAGCTTCTAATGTACTAGGGCGGGGCTAGAACCCTTGTCGGGTTTTTATTGATGTGTCCTCACATTTTGAGTTGTCACTGGAACAGATATAGAGGTGAGATCACGCAATGGGGACACTTGTTCTAGTGACAACCAAAGCAGGCCATACGCTGGAAGATTTCTGTATAACCCTCCCTCCTTGCATGCCATAGCCCCCTCCCTCCTTGCATGCCATAGCCAGCCCCTCCCTCCTTGCATGCCATAGCCCCCTCCCTCCTTGCATGCCATAGCCAGCCCCTCCCTCCTTGCATGCCATAGCCCCCTCCCTCCTTGCATGCCATAGCCAGCCCCTCCCTCCTTGCATGCCATAGCCCCCTCCCTCCTTGCATGCCATAGCCAGCCCCTCCCTCCTTGCATGCCATAGCCCCCTCCCTCCTTGCATGCCATAGCCAGCCCCTCCCTCCTTGCATGCCATAGCCCCCTCCCTCCTTGCATGCCATAGCCAGCCCCTCCCTCCTTGCATGCCATAGCCCCCTCCCTCCTTGCATGCCATAGCCAGCCCCTCCCTCCTTGCATGCCATAGCCCCCTCCCTCCTTGCATGCCATAGCCAGCCCCTCCCTCCTTGCATGCCATAGCCCCCTCCCTCCTTGCATGCCATAGCCAGCCCCTCCCTCCTTGCATGCCATAGCCCCCTCCCTCCTTGCATGCCATAGCCAGCCCCTCCCTCCTTGCATGCCATAGCCCCCTCCCTCCTTGCATGCCATAGCCAGCCCCTCCCTCCTTGCATGCCATAGCCCCCTCCCTCCTTGCATGCCATAGCCAGCCCCTCCCTCCTTGCATGCCATAGCCCCCTCCCTCCTTGCATGCCATAGCCAGCCCCTCCCTCCTTGCATGCCATAGCCCCCTCCCTCCTTGCATGCCATAGCCAGCCCCTCCCTCCTTGCATGCCATAGCCCCCTCCCTCCTTGCATGCCATAGCCAGCCCCTCCCTCCTTGCATGCCATAGCCCCCTCCCTCCTTGCATGCCATAGCCAGCCCCTCCCTCCTTGCATGCCATAGCCCCCTCCCTCCTTGCATGCCATAGCCAGCCCCTCCCTCCTTGCATGCCATAGCCCCCTCCCTCCTTGCATGCCATAGCCAGCCCCTCCCTCCTTGCATGCCATAGCCCCCTCCCTCCTTGCATGCCATAGCCAGCCCCTCCCTCCTTGCATGCCATAGCCCCCTCCCTCCTTGCATGCCATAGCCAGCCCCTCCCTCCTTGCATGCCATAGCCCCCTCCCTCCTTGCATGCCATAGCCAGCCCCTCCCTCCTTGCATGCCATAGCCCCCTCCCTCCTTGCATGCCATAGCCAGCCCCTCCCTCCTTGCATGCCATAGCCCCCTCCCTCCTTGCATGCCATAGCCAGCCCCTCCCTCCTTGCATGCCATAGCCCCCTCCCTCCTTGCATGCCATAGCCAGCCCCTCCCTCCTTGCATGCCATAGCCCCCTCCCTCCTTGCATGCCATAGCCAGCCCCTCCCTCCTTGCATGCCATAGCCCCCTCCCTCCTTGCATGCCATAGCCAGCCCCTCCCTCCTTGCATGCCATAGCCCCCTCCCTCCTTGCATGCCATAGCCAGCCCCTCCCTCCTTGCATGCCATAGCCCCCTCCCTCCTTGCATGCCATAGCCAGCCCCTCCCTCCTTGCATGCCATAGCCCCCTCCCTCCTTGCATGCCATAGCCAGCCCCTCCCTCCTTGCATGCCATAGCCCCCTCCCTCCTTGCATGCCATAGCCAGCCCCTCCCTCCTTGCATGCCATAGCCCCCTCCCTCCTTGCATGCCATAGCCAGCCCCTCCCTCCTTGCATGCCATAGCCCCCTCCCTCCTTGCATGCCATAGCCAGCCCCTCCCTCCTTGCATGCCATAGCCCCCTCCCTCCTTGCATGCCATAGCCAGCCCCTCCCTCCTTGCATGCCATAGCCCCCTCCCTCCTTGCATGCCATAGCCAGCCCCTCCCTCCTTGCATGCCATAGCCCCCTCCCTCCTTGCATGCCATAGCCAGCCCCTCCCTCCTTGCATGCCATAGCCCCCTCCCTCCTTGCATGCCATAGCCAGCCCCTCCCTCCTTGCATGCCATAGCCCCCTCCCTCCTTGCATGCCATAGCCAGCCCCTCCCTCCTTGCATGCCATAGCCCCCTCCCTCCTTGCATGCCATAGCCAGCCCCTCCCTCCTTGCATGCCATAGCCCCCTCCCTCCTTGCATGCCATAGCCAGCCCCTCCCTCCTTGCATGCCATAGCCCCCTCCCTCCTTGCATGCCATAGCCAGCCCCTCCCTCCTTGCATGCCATAGCCCCCTCCCTCCTTGCATGCCATAGCCAGCCCCTCCCTGCTTGCGTGCCATAGCCAGCCCCTCCCTCCTTGCGTGCCATAGCCAGCCCCTCCCTCCTCATACTTCTCCAGGAATAGTAAATTTCCTACAACTGCCCCCTCCCCTATTGTCATAGCCCTCTTCTGTGAGCTTCTAATTCTCTATGCTGGCCTAGCTCCTCTGCCCCTCCCCTTATTATTATTATACAGGATTTATAGACGCCAACAGTGTGCGCGGCGCTGTACAATACAAGGAAGATGTTACAATCACAATACAATTCAAGACAAGATGGTGTGATACATGAGGAGAGGGCTGTGTGGGCTCAGCTCCTCCTGGCAGAGGAGCAGTTTAAGGTGCGGCGCCTCTCCTGTGGTATGTGTATTTACTCCCTACATAACCTTTTATATAGCTTCCAGGGGGAGGAGCGGAGGGGGATACTATAGGGCGGGGGCGGGCAAACTCCGGCCCCCCCAGCTGTGGGTGGAACTGCAAATCCCAGGAGGCATGGCAAGATTCTCACAGCCGCAGGCATGACTCCCGGAGACAGTTGCATGATGGGATTTGTAGTTTCACCCCTGTATGTCTCATTTGTAGGTATTCGTGTCCTCTGGAAGCGGACAGAACTACAGCACGCTGACTCTGGCTCCTGGATCTCCGGTCAGTCCTGACCTCATACTGGATGGAGATAAGAAGAACTTGTATGTAATGACGGAGTCTCAGGTAAGAGGACATGACCAATGGGAACCTTTGTGGGGTGTTTAGTCGCCACCTGCAGCCAGATAGAAAAGACAATACGCTGACAATAAGCAACCTAAGAGGAGGAGAGAGCAGAGTGACCGAGAGATGGGCGCATCACTATGCTGCTTCTCCATTCAATGTCCAGTCACAGGCTGGAGGGCGGACCCAGGACAACCTGGGCTCAGAGGAAGGGCGTTGAGTGATGCCGACCATCAGACTGAGGACATCTAGTGGCAGAAAAGTACTGCATGGGAAACCTCTGGATTGTGAGAGGAGGCGGCGGCAGACAAGAAGAATGCTGATAGGAGGAGAGAGCACAGTGACAGAGAGATGAGCTAATCACCGTGCTTCTTCTCCTTTCACTGTCCAGTCTGGGGGCGGGTCCAGGACAACCTGGGCTCAGAGGAAGGGCGTTGAATGATGCCGACCATCAGACTGAGGACATCTAGTGGACACGTCAATGCGCATGTGCGTTCATCTAATTGACGCCTGCCGGCGGCCATCTTGGTGGTGCTCTCCTGACAGTGTCGGGCTCTGAGTCCATGACCGAGTGCAGGGCTGTAGCTATCATGGGGCGAGTGCAGCTGAGAGGGGGCACAGCCGTGGCCGGCCTGGCTGCTCCCCCTTGCCCCTGTTGCCATGGCGAGCACAGGGCGCCATTGGCAACAGGGGTGCCATGCGGCCAACACAGCCGCGGCTTGGCTGGGAGAAGAGGAGCGGCACAGGCTCCACCGTCTCCTCGGATCCCCGCTGCTCTCTCCCACCTGTATGGGGAGAGGCGCATGCGTGCCGCCATCCTGGAGGCGGGGCACATGATGTCGCATACCGCACACCTCTATTGGGGGGTGGGGCACAATTTTCTGTTCTTGACTCGGGCGCAAAAAGAGCTCGCTACGGCTCTGACCGAGCGCCCGACTTTTTAGAAGGGGGTGACACCAAAATGACTTTTCAGTCCCCCCCTCCAATGGTGTCACCCCAGGTGCGGGCCGCAACCTCCCACGTGACGCCCCTGCAGGTAAATAACAGGCCTATAATGCGGCTGAAGCAGTATTAACCACTTGCGGACCGGCCGCGGTATATATGTACATGGCCGGTCTGCAGCCGCATTGTTCCCGACGTGCATCCACCTGTGTGCTCGCGGCCGCCGCTGCTGGTCGCTGGCAGCGAAAGGGTTAAAGGGACGTGTTCGGTAGCACACGTGACGCTCTCACGGCGGAACCGGCTAGACCACCTCATTATATCTGGTGGCGGAAGGCTTAGCACCGCCGCGGTGTCCTCGCACGCCACAAATATGCATCCGGCTTACTGCTCGGGTTAGAGGAAAATGATATATCGGGCCTCCGCGCCGCGCCTGGTACTTATCCCGTGCGCGTGCGCGCCTGAGGTCTCTGATCTTCACCTGCGCGTAATGTGTAAATTGCCGGGCGGGACGGTAATTGTACGTCTGGTGGCGGGTTCTGCGGTTAGGGCTCCCCGAGGCCTGAGAGAGAGCGCGCAAAGTGGCAATCATGCGGGAAAATGATTATAATTAAGTGAACCCGCCGGCACGGAAATGAAACGTTAGAGGTCACCCAAAATCTGACGCTCGGCTGCCGAGGCTGACCGCACGTGCTGCCTCCCAGCTCCTGAGGGTGCATAACTCTCTATTGCATAACAGCCCCGTCGTGACTGGTTCTCTTCAGCAGGCTGTAGGAAGTGCTCAGATCAGATTGGGAAAGACTAATTTGGCCCAGTTAGGTCAGGCGACCTTTTTACGGGAATCTAGAACCCTCCAGTGACTGCGCCGCACGCAGCGCGGGATTGAGGACGGCGTGCCGGGGCATCTGCGTGTCTGTACAATGTCCGGAATGTGAGCAGAAGAGGGAACGCAGCACAACCTTCATCGGGTGGGAGCGGCGCACACTAGTGTTCCCCCAACGTTTGGGAAGCTGCGGTCACGTGATGTGACATACAATGCACACGGCTTGATTTGCACATTGAAGTTCCTGTCTGTCTGCCAGTGAGCGGCCCCTTCCCTGGAGACATCATGCGTGAGGCTGAATACATATTTCATGAAGACGTGACCCCCTCCCCCCC